ACACTTGGACAGAGATGAACATCGGGGACGAGAGACTGAGCATCGGGAGGCTGAGGGCAGACTCTTCAGATGTGGCTCTAAAGCCCGAGTGGATCAAGGAAACCATCATGCAGAGTACAATTCTGAAAGAAGTCAAGCATCTTGTGAACCACGAGAATTGGAAGATGGAAGGAGGGACCTGGAAACACACGATGAGCTGAGGACTCGTGCCTTTGAACCCCACGTGACTGATGAGCGCCGAGATCAGATTCGTAACCGTAGGCCAGTAGATGATTATGAGGAGCATCGCCCATTACCCAGAGAAGGTGAGAGAAGATCACAGTCCCATGAAACTGAACACAGAGAGAGCGAGAGGAGGAGACGAGACCACAGTGCCTTTCAATCGAGAGATGATGTCCGTATAGCAAACCGGGCAGAAGAGGAAGAAGTAAGGGGATGTGAAAGGAGACGCGATGAAGATGAGTGGAGCAGACCACGACAATGTGAAGCTTTAAGGAGACCAGAGGTGGAGGAACTGGAACACAGGGAGCGAGAGAGGAGGTCCTATTCACCTGAGCTTGAGAACATGGACAGACGTAACCAACCTCATGAGTCTGAAGGCAGACTCAGAAGGTCCCGTCATCGTGAAGATGAGGAGCGGAGAAGGCAGCAGTTCAGCTGGGAGGAAACCCAAGCAACAGAAAGTAGAAGGAGGAGACCCCGATCCCATGAGCCAGAACCCAGGGACCCCAAATATGGCCGATCTCAAAGATATGAAGAAGAACCAAAGAGAGCTGATCAGAGAAGGCAGCATAACTACGAAGTTCAGTCCCCAGAAAGGGATGTTGCAAGGAGGAGAAGGCTCCAGACTCGTGAATCAGCTGAGAGAGAAGACAACCAGGAGAGGCAACAGTATTATGAACGTGAATCCCGGGGCAGTGAGGGAGACAGGAGAAGGCCTCAGTTATGTTACTCGGAACCCAGAGAGGGTGAGAAGAGAAGGCATCAGCTGACTGACTCAAGAGTTGTTGAAAGGGAACGACTCCAGTCAAGAGAATCAGTAACCAGACCAACACAACGTGACAGGTTTTCTCCATCTGATAGTTCAGGAGAATATGACTGGAGTAGACAACAGATATACGAGTCCAGAGATATTGAACAAAGGGAAGGGAGGAGAAGAAGCTATGATAGAAGAAGCTGTGGCCAGAGACAAATCCAGGGAATTGATATTGATCCAAGAGAAGGTGAAGGGCAAAGAAGAACGAATGCTGAGGCTGGAGATGTTGACCAGAGGCAAACTCAGACACGTGGTGTTGACCATGGAGAGAGTGAACAGCAGAGGAGAACCTCATCACGTGACTCTGGTGATAAAGACATTGACCAGAGGCGGACCCAAACAGATGAGGCTAGCTCAAGAGATGGTGAAGACCAGAGGAGAACTTCATCCCATGACTCTAATACAAGACAGGTCAACCAGAAAATGATGCAGACATCTGACCCTGATTTCAGGGATACTGAAATACCACAACATAATAAGGGGAACGCCCCCCAGCCACGTGAGGTTCCCTCTCTATCCAACCAAACAGGGGACCGTGAATTTGCAGAGGATCTGCTGAGAGACCAAAGACCACCAGAGTCTGGTGAATCTCAACTGTCAAGGAAGCCCAGGCAGCATAAGGCAGAACAAAGCCAGTCCATTCCACGCACACTAGAGCAGAAACAGGCCACAAGAGGGAGCCAATGTTTGTCTGGACCAGAACTGAGAGGTCCCCAGAGAAGGTGGCTGCAGCCCCATCAAACTGAAGCCCAAGAAGGGGAAGCTGGAGTGGAGCAAACCCAACTAAAGGTGGGTTCACCTGAAAGCAAGAGAGCTGCCTCCCAACCAGGTGAACAGCAGACCACTGAGGGCCAGGAAAGCAGGGTCCAGAGGCACCATCCCAAGCCAGCCACCCAAGATGAAGGTGAGTCTGTGGCAGGAAAGGGAGGCAAAGCTCAGGAACCTGCTACTGTCAAACGGCAGCAACTCCAAGCCCAGGGTGCATCCTATGAAGGAGAAGGTCCTCAACCTGAAGTGGAGGGACCAAAGGTGGAGGAAGATGATGAAAATGGCCCACGGGCCCAAGAATCTCAGCCACCATTGGAGGAGGATGACCAGCAAGCCGTCACAGAGAAGCCATGCGACTCTCTGGGCGAAAGCAAATCGTCCGTGGTTTGTAACCCGCTGTACGAATATCTGTTGGCCCAGAAGAAGCAGGAGCAGCCATAGAAGTTGGGATGAAGATGCGAGCTTGAAGCACACCGTGATTCACATCCACCGTTCTTCCTTAGATGTAGATGCTCTTTGATCCTGTTGAGCTTTGTTCTAATCAGTTAATCTAATCAGCTCTAAATCAGCCCTTCTGTTCCAAGGGGATGCACAGCAAAGTGTTACGGGGCCCTGATCCCTTCCCTTACAGATGTATCCACAGAAATATAAACCTGGGGTGAGCAAAAAGTAGGCCTGTCCTGTGGGTTTTCCTCTAATCCGCTGCTCTAATCAGCTCTCGATCAGCCCCTTTGCTCTTCAATGACTCTGAAGCGCCTTCAAAACTCCATAGAAGGTCGCAAGATGAGGAAGGCAAACCAGGAATTCTACCTCGAGTAAGCAAGAAGCAAACGAAGGTCTAGGTGGATAGACCTCCGTGTCCGTAGGCATCTTTCTTCTACTATCAATAAATTCCTCCCGATTGAATCAGCCCATTCTTCTTCTTTCTGTTTCTTTCATCTGCTGGGATGAACGGCGTCCCTTCTTCAGTCCAACTTTGCTTGGGCAGTAGAAACTCTTAGTGCGGGGAGGGGGGGTGTCCTTATGCATTTATTTTCTAAAAAGGAGGGTGATTCCTCAGCTGGCCACGAGATGGAGGGGCAGAGCCAAGGAATCAGGAGGGCTAAAAGCCAGAGGGAATGTTGGTTCAACAACCAGGAGGGTGGAGTTTTTTTTCATTTGCAAGTCAGATCTTGCAATGGGGGGAGGTTGGAATAGATCTGCAGACCGCAAGAGGGAGGGAGATGCGTCTTTCAGCGTCTCTGCCTGTGATTGTGTTCCTCTGGGTGTTGCCACAGGCTCTGATGTCCCCACCCTCCCCTTCTCGTTGCTGGGGAACGCTTTAATCCAGATCTTTGTGCAGGATAGCCCCCCTCCCTCCCGCCTTCCCTGTTTGCACCCAACCGTGCAACTCTTTAGAAATCTCCAGTGGAGTTTTTCCAACACGCAAGAGGGAGGAGGGGAGTTGGCTTATCTCTGAAAAATTCTTCTGAAAAGAAGCCTACTTTTTGCAAACTGTTTCTTCCCTGGGGAGCAGGGGGGACAGAAAATACTTCATTTAATTCATCGAAACCCAGTTTGCACATCTGCCGCACTCACACCCAGAGCTGATGAAAGCTGGGTGGGAGAGGATCCGCTAAGGATGTGCTCTGCAGGACCAAAGGCAGCTCTCTCGGGGTGTCTTTTTGGAAACGCCGCCAAGGTTCTAGTCCTCGTTGTTGTGGAAAAGTTTCTAAAATCTGTAGTTGCTGGCCCGTGGCACATGGCCAAGGTAGACTGTGTCTCATGGAAACCTCCACAAGCCAACGGAAAGATTTGCCAGGATCCAAGTTTTTTTTTTTCCTTTCCAGCAGTTACTCAGAGACGCTGGGAGTTGTAAGATGAGTCACACACGCACGCGCACACACACACACCACCCTTGGCTGGCCCACTTGCACAAAGGAAAATTAGAGCTCTGCAGAAAATGGTTTCCTGCCTTTTTTCAAGCTCTTTTATGGATTGGGAATTTGGGGAAGAATTTTGATCGTAAGCCTATTTTGGCATGCTTCAGTTTAGTGTGAATGTGCAAACTCCCGAAAACGGAAAATGAAAACGTTCAAGGACGTTTCTGTCCACTTCTCTAAAATCGACATTTTGGCATCCACATTTCCTTCCCCGCAGTGTTGGCAAGCAGACTTCCCCTGCCAGAAGGCCTCTTTGCAGGTATGCGTTTCTCCCCTTCCCACAGCTATTTTTCTGCTTATTTTAAGCCCTGCAAACCGCCTAACCAAATTTGGAAACCTGCAGATTCGGCCCCGCAAAGCCAGTTCTGGTTTTCCTCGGGCCCCGGGGAGACCTGAATGGAGAACATGTGCCAGAGGTGGGGGGATTAAAACCAGAGGGGGCAATTTTTTTCTCTGGCTTCCAGGTTCTTGGAGGCATTGAAAATCTGGGGAACTTTCCAGGTGTCCAAAGTGTTGAGCATCCTCCCATATGGATATTGACACGAATCCAAAAACTTTGGAAAGGTTTCCTCCTTCTGCACCTCTGGGCCGAACCATTTGGAAACTGGTTTTCTCCTGGGCCGAACCATTTGGAAACTGGTTTTCTCCTGGGCCAAAAGCATTTGGAAACTGGCTTTCTCCTGGGCCAAACCATTTGGAAACTGGTTTTCTCCTGGCTGAAACCATTTGCAAACTTCAAACTGAAACAGGGGCCGATTTTGAGCAGGTGGGGTTGATTTCCCACCCACTGGTGGTTTCTGCAGACCCAGAGAGAGCAGGCGAGCAGCGCAGGATGAGTTAACAGGATTTGGGAGAACAGCAAAGTCAACTTCTCGAGCGCATTCCTGCGCGAACGAAGCAAGGTGGGGCGCGCCTGCGCTTCGAAGGAGCGTGTCCCGCCGCAAT